TACCTGACATTTGTTGTGTATTTTTTGTTTGTGTTTGTTTTTTATATAAGTGCTTTTCCATATGTATGTGCAATATAATTTATACAGCTTCTGCCATCACACAAAGATGCAGTTGAGGAAAGCCCATAAAAATCATACCTAAGAGATGCACAGATGTGCACATGCTCCTTTTTTGGCCATCAAATCCGTATTAAAAGTGCCGCCAGTTCCATTGTCACTAGATTGTCCAGAATGGATCACCRGGAATTTGAGCTGGAACTTCTCTGCCAAGGCAAGTTTCTGTGCCAAAAGATCTGTTGTTGTTTCACAGCTTCTTCTAGTGCATTTCTCAAATATGACAGCTCCTGAGTGCCAGCCAGTCTTGTGTAAAGGAAACGAGAGATGTGTAAAGACCTTACACTTACAATAAAGTTTGCCTTGCTCCAGCTGTTGTGGGATGCTCCTTTCAAGCCAGATGTAAAGTGGAACAAAGTGAATTTTACAGCAGCTACATGGTATTTTCCAGTCATTTTGGGTCTGTTTATGGCCATTTCCTTTCGAGCAGCAGGAGATTTATTGCAAAAGCAGATTGTGCTGACACCAAGAAATGAGTAAAGCTTGTTTCCAAGTAGCCCAGAAGCTGTGCTTGATATAACTCCTTGGTGGACTGAGGAGATTTATAGCTGCTGGGGTCTCACCTACTACGTGTAAGAAGATGTGAAATGTCAAAGAGATTAAACCATAATCTCTGGGAACATTCCCAGCTAATCTTTGCCCAAACCTCTAAGCAGGGCCCTGGATTAAGGCTGTGGATCTTGGCTCAGGGCTGTGGATCTTGGCTCAGTGCCGTGCCGGGTTTGCCATCGCTGACTTCAGTGGGAGTCAACAGGAGATTCTCCCTTGTCAGGGTCAGACACAGCTGCTGGGTGAAGCATGGGCGGAAGGAGATGAAATTTGGGGTCTTGCAGTAGGCAAGAGGCTGGACTGGTTGACTTAATGATGACTGTGGCCTTGAAACACTTTCTGCTATGAAGAAACATGGTCATATCACAAATAGCCCAGGGGAGCCGAGCAGGGCTGTCACAGGGGTCGATCCGGTCTAGTCTTGTGTGATTAGGAGTGTGAAAAAGACCTGGTCCCCTTCCTCCATCCTGCTCGAGGGATGCCAGCTGTAAGTGCAGCACAAGTGTAGCATTTCCTTTGGCCGTGAACCAGCCTTATCAGACTTTTATTGCAAGAGAAACTGAAATTGGTCTGGGCTGTTTGCAGACCTGACGTTACCTTGTCCCTACAAAGCTCCAAGAGCCCAGGGAATTTTAAAGGACTGATGCCCAGGCAGGGTGATGGTATCAGGCACAATGTGGGGGTCTTGTGGGAAGGTCGTGTGATAACCTTTACCRGCCAGATAATATGCTTTGCATTTGCGATCATCATTTGCATTGAGCAGAAGAGGGTTTTGTTTCCTCCTTGACTTCCCAGAGGACATTGTCTTCCCATTGTGCACAGGACACACCTGCAAGGCAAAAAAACAGTGAGAAAACCATTAGTCTCTTCCATCCCCCTCCTCCTCCTATTCCCAATGTCACTGCTGAATAAAATATTCTCCTTCTCTGGCCACTGGGCCCTTTTCCTTCCATTCCTCATGGGCACGGTGCCAGCTAAACATGAGGACAAGTGTTCACAGCTCCTTGCCCAACAGCCTTGTGTTCCCGACCTATCAAAGCAGAAATGAGGCCACTGCTAGTCCTTGGGGTCTGGCTGCTGCAAGGCGAGGGCCGGAGCAGGGACCCCTGCTCTGAGCACACAGAGCTTCCACTGGCTCCCTGTGCTGCCAGCTCTCATGGTTCAAGGCTTTGCTCATTAGGGCTCTTGACATCTTGGCCTGATCACTCAGTTAATCAAGACCCTGACTGTCCGGTGCCACTGACGATCTCTTGGCACGAAAAAAAGACGGGTTATTAGCCCGTCTGGAGTTTTGATCAGTTTCCAGCTCTCAGTATTACGTTCATCCTTTCCTAAACTCCTCGCCATAATTGCAGACCTCTAAGGCAATCGCGTTTCCTCAAAATCCCTGGGATCACAAGAGCTGGCCATCTGGGCTGCAATCCCGCCCGAGACGGGAGGAACGCAGGCTCTCCCCAGCCACCTGGCGGGTCTTAACATAGGCGAGGAGTTTTCTTGGGAAAGTGTCTGAGGGGCCGCTGGGATCCTGCGTCTCCGCAGTCATTAGGCCCTGCTAATCCTGCCTTGCAGAGCACCGGCTGGGGGAGGACATCTTAGCAAATCACCCAGGCACTTAACAGAGCAATCGGTTCAGAGTTCTGGGTCCCTAAGAGGATAAYGGGAGGGTTTTGTCTCACGGGCAGTATGGCATCAGGCCAGCGACGTGAGCACAAGACGGGTGCCCTGTGGCATCCCGAGGGGCTTTGCAGGATCTCCTGTGAGAAACCCTGCAAAGAGGGAAGGAAGAGGGCAAGRAGGCCAGGCCTGGCCCCGGCTCGCAGGGGGAGAGTGGCTGGGGCAAGTTATGCAAAACGTGGTAACGTGGCTGTCTCAGCTGCCCTCTCAACGTCTGCAGCCCACATGGGCCATTCTTCATTCCCCACCCATCCTGCCTCTGAGCTGCTCATCTATCTTGCACAGGGATAATTGCTTTTTTATGGGCAGTGTAAGACTCTCTTCCTGCCTCTCTAAATGGAAAAATCCCATTTAACATGTTGCCCTATGGCAGCTGCAAGGGAAGGAACTATTGCAACACGATGCCCGTAGGAGAGCCCAGCAGAGCACCTCCTGGCACAGCCCTGGCACTGCTTGCTCTCCACACAGCTCCACAAAGCACATCACAACAGGGGCCTCCTGGAGCACAGGCTCTTTCAGCAAACAGAGCTGCCATGGGGAAAATTGCCCTGGAGGGAGGAGTTGTGCTTTCCTGCAGATCCCATGGGATTCGTTCACATCTTTCCTAAAGCTTGGCAGTCATCTCAGAGCTCTCGGTTGAGGCATGACGAGCGTTCAGCAAAGCAGGAGTTCCCCATACCTTGTATYTTCAGGTCCTGTTTAATTCCCTGAGGGCCTGATGAGCTGTGGCAAGACTTAATTAACTGACAACATGAAAACATTTTCTTTCAGTGTTCAAAGGTTCATACACTTCCAGTGCACTTGCATGTAGGGATGGGTCAGTGGGACGGTATTTTGGGGGCTCTCATTTTGCTGGCAGGTGTTTAGCAGTGAGGGCCCAAAGTTCTTCAGATAAGTGACTCTCCTTTCCTAAGAGCTGGAGGAGACAGTGACGTGAATCACGCCAGATCGAGGAGCAGATATCACCGCATGACGACAACATCTGTAAATCATCCGGTCGGACGGACAGAACAGGGTGAGCAGCGAGAAACTCATCTGACAAGGGACTAATTAAAAAAAAAACCAACCACTGGAAGAGTGAAAAGGCCCGAACAAATCCAGGAAGGCTGCATTTCTGCGATAGGAGACGGTCACATGCAAACGTCCTAATGCCAGGATTTGGTCATGTCTGTGATAGTCAAAACACATTGAAACAAATGCATGAACTCACAGTTTGCTGCTTTCTGTCCTGTCTCCACTGCAGCACTCAGGCAAAGGCAGTTTGGGCTCTCTGGAATCATGTTTATTCGGCAATAGTCACCTGGTGGTGCTGAAAGGCTGCCAGGGAAGACACCAGTGAAACTTCGGCTCTCAGTCTCTGCTCCCAGAAACTGCACCTGAGAGTCTTGTTGTGGATTAGCAAAAGCTCAGCAGCTGGTGTCCAGGAACGGCCACAGAGGCCAAGCAAAGTCCTCGTATACTTACGGATATCTGCAACAAAACAGCATTGCAAAGGTTTCATCGGGATGCTGGGATAGTCCCTTGCTTTTCTGTAATGTCACGGACAAACTACCACACCAACAGAGAGGGAATGTCCTCTGATTAAAAATGCCTGTTATTATCTACATGCCCATATTTTATATAAATATATAATATATATACACAATCTTGAATGAAATACATGTAATATTCACTTACAGTGTGCACACTGTATGTATATGGACATCATAGGAGGTGGAGTAGTCCTTACATATTTAATGAATATATATATATTTAAAACGACCACTTTCATCCTGTACATTGGCAATAACATAAAAGATTAAATGAAAGTACTTGTACTTGAGTACAAATCTGTATTTGTACTCAATTTTCCACTATTTTTAATGCTTATTCAGATAATGAAGATAGGCTGAAGGCAGCTTCCCTTTGGTTCAATGCAGGACTCGAGGCACACGGTGCTACTTCAGGAATCCCTCTGGCGCCTGAGGAAGCATTGTGCTGGGCGGAACAGGAAGGCAAATCCAAGGCCTTGGAGGTTCTTCCAGAGAAGATCTAAAAAGCTGGCAAAGATGTAAAACCTTCCAGCAAGGAGCAATTATAAGAAATATTGCCAAAGCAAACACAGGCACACAGAGTGTTCTGTGTAACGCCCTGCGTACACCCCTTGTGTAACACCATCTGGATTTAAGTGTCTTATACAAGCCTTTACTCACTCAGTGCTGAGCTGCTCCTAAGCTGGGATTGAAGGCGAATCCTATTTAGAAAAACACCCTTGCTGAAAAAAGCATGAAGCAAAGAGGTAAATTTGCAGGGATCTTCCCAAGTGTGACGGCACCGTAATGCAGAGACCATCTCCCGGAGGGCTCCAGGAGGACTTAGGATTGCTTGTTATAAAAGGGAGCCTTGGTTCAGCCCGGAGCAAAGAACTGGTGACAGTCAAGGATTTTGAGTACTGTTTTGGTCGGGGAAAATGACTGCTTTTAGCGCGGGAGGTAATTAAAACACCCGGTGAAGCTAAACACCGTGGGGATCTGTCATAAAAGGAGGCAGATTGTGTAACCAGATAGAATGATCCTGGAGAAAACAGCAGAGAAAAGAACTTGAAGTTCGCCTAGAGAAGAAAGACAGAGCAAGATATTGCGCCAGATACAGAAATCTGATCTCTGCAGTTCCAGTGGCTAGAGATGGCTGAAGAGGATATCAGGGCTCCAGGCACGCCGTTCTCACTCTCTTTTTCGGGCAGTGGCTTTCTYGTCCTCTACCAGGTGGGAGTGGTGCAGTCCCTCCTGGAGCTGGCCCCAGAGCTGCTCCGCTCGGCGTGCAAGGTCTACGGCTCCTCTGCAGGATCTCTCATCGCAGCGGCCGTCGTGTGCGGCACCAACCTCGGTAAGAGAATTATTGCCTGGATTTTCTCATTTTTGACTTTTGTTTCCAAATATAAATGTAGGCACTAATGCCTTATAGGGTGAAAGGAGGGAATTTTTGCCAGCAACCTATCCTATTCAATCAGTCACAGCTGGATGTGTCAGGGGGCCAAGTGCTCTATGTTAGTATCAAAAAAATGAAGGAGGAAGTAGGGAAGAAATTCAGAAGCTACCAGGGGATTTAGGAGCATGGAGTCCACTAAATCCTGGTAGGATTTCCCCCCCTTAACCAACCGTGCTTTAAAATTCCTCTCATGCCACACACTGAAAGCCCGGCCAMCAAAGAGGAGTGTTTCCAGGAGCACTGCAGTGGCTGCCCTTGCTTTTCCAGCCCCAGTGGCTGGACTGCTGACTGGCCTCCAGGGATCCAGCTCCCACTGCTGCTTCTCCGCAGCCTTGGCCCTCCTCAGAGTTTCTTTGTGGCTCCTGGCATGCAGTGCTTCAGCCAAGGCCTCATGGCTCACTGCTGCCTCTGTTTCCATGAGGCTGGTTGGGATGAGATGGCTGGGAGAGCTCTAGCCCTTTGCTGAGTATGACTGAAGTTGGCTGAGAGGATGAGATGTAATAGTGGGATTCTTAGACCGAGCGGACATCTCCACAAACTCAGCTCTCTTCACAATAAAGAACATTGCAAGGACATAGGTCATTTCTATGACCTACTTCATCACTCACCTGGGCTCTGGGAGAAGAGATTTGTAACTCTTGGAGCTTTGATCTCTTGGCATAAAGGGCTACTGAATCCATGGTGTCATTTCCTCCCTTTTGCAGAGTTGGGTTCCACATCCCTGTCTTTGTTGTGGACGGAGTTCTAAAACTCAGTTATCTCAGTTATTAATGAGTTCTAAAATAGGAATAAATATCCTTTTTTTTTGGCAAATCTGAAGATCACCTGCAGTAAGGTTTTTGAAAGGAGCTTTTACAATATTTGAAGCCTCTGCTTCACATATGCTAGGACCATTCCACTGAAACTAAAACCWAGTTAAAAATTAGGTAAATACATTTAGACAAAGCGGAGCCCAACTGTCAGAAATGTTTCTGCCCATGTGGGAAAGAACCTCCATGCATATTAGCAAAGATGCCAATACTTTCCTCTCTGATTTCTYATCCTGTTGCAATAGAACAGAGGAGCCAGGACTGTCAAGCAGGTATAACAGCTCTTGCTGTCACTATCAATGCTGATAAGTGGGTCTGCTTCACTGGAGGAGACAGGGCACCATCTAATTAGTTAGTGGAGACTCTAAGTTGATCTTCTGCCCAAAACATCTCCCTTCAGGGGAAGAAAAGGTCTTTTGGATAGTGATGACTGTGGCTGAGTTTTTAATAYAGAAAAGGCATGGGGCTCCTGCACACAAACTGAGCCAAACACATATCTGGCATAATCAGGGAAGGAATAAGGTAAAAGATGGATTTAGCTTCTCCAGCCCATGCAAGAGTGGACCCCAATGGGGGTCCTGGTGGGCTGGCTGTGATCAGGCATTGATGGCCCCTACCCGTCCTTCTCTGGGACCAAGCAGCRCTAAGCTCTCTGAGCCAGCTGTCCTTTGCTGTCTTGTGTGTCCACATCACAGATGGCTCTTAGGGAGACAGATCATTCCTGAGCACGCAGAAACTGGGACAGGAGGGGACTGTCTTGGACAGCACAGCCCCTGCTTGCTGCAAGCCGAACCCTGGCCACCACGGCCAGCCACAGCAGCAACTCCAGGGCTGCTGCCAGCTCCCACTTCCTCCCTGGCAGCTCCTCAGCCTCTTTCCAAACTTCCTCCCATTTCCAGGGCACAGGGCAAGCAGAAAGAAGTGCTGAGCAGGTGTCTTCTTGTGCTGTTGCCCACAGCCCTCCTGAGGTATCTCAGGCTCTTTTGACTTCCCCAGAGACCCTGGGTGAACCTGCCAAGCGTTAATCGTTGTGCCACATGGCCTGAACATCCGCTCAAACAATTATAACCCCTCTTAATACCTGGGTTGCTGCAGTTGCCTTCAGGACACTTCATGTAATCCATCTGTCTGGCCRTATTTTTAAAGACATGTGATGGGACAGCCTGGGCGACCTCTGTTCCTGCAAGGGGAAAGATATCGAGTTGTGTTTAGCTCTGCACTGCTCCGGAGTCCTGCGGAGCCTACCTTGGTCACAAGGAYAGCTCCTGGCAGGATCATCAGGGAAATGGAAAACATTTTCAACATGCCAGTTCAACCAGTTGAGTCATGGGCATGTTTGACCTGAAAGAGAGAGAGGGCCTTATCAGCAGTGCCACTTCCACCCGCAGCTGAACTACTGCTCTCATCATCGGTGAGAGCAGTTTTGCCTTGAACACAAACAACCAAGGGAAAAGGAAGAGGGAACAGTCAAACCTCTGTGCTGTGAATGTCACACTTTCCTGAATCTTTCCCTGCTCCCGTGGAAAAGGTTCAGCCAGAGTATCAGATCCTACGGAGTCCTGCTGCTGACAGAAAAGGGCTTTAATTTGGGGCAGGGTTAAAAATATATCTGTTCAGGCAGCATAAAWGCTGACTTTCTCTCTCTTCTTTCCTATACCAGATGACCTAAAGGAATACTTTTTTGAAAGTGCAAGGGAAGTCAGGAAAACCATCCTGGGCCCTCTTTCTCCCAAGTGCAGCCTGCTGAGGAATATCAGGAGTCTTTTACAGAGGACACTCCCTGAGAACTCCCACCAAGTGGCTTCGGGGAGGCTGCACATCTCCCTCACGCGGGTGGTAGATGGCCAGAACGTCATGGTCTCRGAGTTCAACTCCAAGGAGGATCTCATTCAGGTAAAGGGACCTTCCTCGGAGGCCCGTAACAAGATCTCCTGCTACTCTTTTGGTGAGCAGGTCCCATAAGCACTAATGACTGGAGCTCCCAGCGAGCTCCATGAGGCCTGCAGGGGACAGGAATGCAGAGGGAGATGCTGTTGGGGCCAGAGTGTGGTAGGATCTTGCTTTTGGACTCAAAGAACTTCTGCTGAGGTGTTATTCAGCCCTAGCAAGTGCTAGTGGCTCCCTGCAAAGAGATGGGTTGATGCTAACCTACCCTCTGAGCTTTCTGTGTGGGTCTCTCCTTGATCAAGTTCTCTCAGCAGGAATTGCCCTTGTTGCCTCTGCACTTTCCTGAGGAGGAAAGTTCTGGGAGGAAAGTGCTGCACTAAAAGTCTGGGTTGCCAAACCACCAACTGCTGATTAACCTGTGAATTAGCTGCTGGAGGAAGAATCCCAGTGAAAAACCCCAAAGGAGCTCACCAAGAGAATCAGGGATTTGTTGTCCGGTGCAAACAGTAGAGGATGGCAAATACATGGAGATGCTGAAACTCCACTAGTGGTGCCCACCCTAGGTTAACCTCGGCAATCCTTGTTGCTAGTTACAACCAAAGACCAACTCCCAGATCAAGAAACTGGGGAGGAGTCGTTGCAAACTATCCAGCAGGATGGTTTGGCCATTGAAAAAACTCCCAGCAGAGTCAAAGTGTTTTGAGAGAGCGTCTTGGTTTTGTCAAAAGCCTTCAAGAATGAAAAATGACCTAAAAGTTTCACCTTCTCAAGGCCAAAAGGCAGCATTTGGATGGGGAAATATAGATATCGAACTGTGATATTGCAGACAGTTCTACAGTGAAAATGGTGTGCTATGCCCTTACCAAGAGAAGGCTTTCGGTTTTATTGAAATTAGATGTTTTGGCCTTCTTGAAACTTYTCCTCTTTGCACAGCAACGTGCAGAGTCCAGGCAGTACCTGCAACCAGGTGATTTGTCCCACCTCAATTTGCATGCCCTGAATCAAACAGCCCTTTGTTCAGAAGAACCTCCCTAGAAACACACACTTTACTGCAACCCTTTTGTAATCCCGCTCTCTCCCAGGCTCTCCTCTGCAGCTGCTTTCTCCCCATCTACTGCGGATTCATCCCTCCGTCCTACCGAGGTGTGGTGAGTGCTCTTTCAAACACCACCTATGCTCTCAGCAGCGTGTCCATGGGGTTAAACTTTACATTCCCTTGAGCGGAGCGGGTAGTAAATGCCTAGACATCTTCTTAGGTAGCTTGAGGCACGTTCTTCATTGCAACCTAAGCTCGCAGCTTTGTTGAACTGCCATCTGGAGAGACATCTCCTTCTGCTCTGTCGACTGCTGGGCCTGGGGGCCTGGACATGGTGTTTGTCTTGCAGATCTCCAAAGTGAGATGACACCCACGTTCAGAATGTACAATCTGGTTGTCCTGGGCAGGATTTGTCAGCAGTGCAGATGTCTCCATTAGCTCAGGTGCAGACAAGTATGACAAAAATACCGAAAGTTTGTGGGAGGAATCCTCCCCCAAGCACGTGCATATTCATATGCTGTGAAACACCACAATAAGTCAACAAATTGGAGCCAGGTTGCAGCTACCTCTCAGTGAAAGAACACAGGACTGATGTGTGCAACCTGCCTGTGTGTCAAGGCCTTCAAAGCCTTGGGAGCAGATCTGCAGCTGGTATAAAATGGGGATATCCACCAGATTGGGTCAGGCTGTATTGACTGAGCCTATTCAGGCCACTGTAATTGGCTGCCTGCTCAGATCTGCACCTTTACCCAGACTGCAAGCAGTTATTAAATGTGGGTCTCCTACTCCTTGAGCTCACAAGAAAAACAGAACAAGACCAAACCCGAGATGGAGGACTTGAAGTCTCTATAACACAATAAATTCAGTGACRTTTGACCAGCTAGCAACTCCTGGAGCAATCTCATGATGTTTTGTGCATAAAAGTTATATTTTCATTTTAATAACTGCTGTGGCTTCCAGCACTATGCTCAATGTGACAGCTAAACCTTTGAAAGCTGCTGTGCCACCATAGCCTCAAGATATAATAAGGGCAGAGATTTAGTTCATGGCCTCCCTCTCACTGGGACTGTGGTATCTGCATCTGCTCCTAGCTGAAGACCAGGCTTGGTGCCATGGGCAAGGTGCCAGGAGGGGCTGGGAGAGGCAGGGATCAAGGGAGGGAGATGGGAAGAGATGTTGTTGCAAGTGGGAAGACTGGACATGCTGGAATCAGCCCTCGGTGCCTCTATAGCAACCCTCTTCTCCACGCACCCCGTCCCTCTGCTCTTGTCCCTCAGCGATACGTTGATGGAGGATTCACCGGCCTGCAGCCTGTTTCCAGCCTGGAGGAAGCTGTGATCACGGTGTCCCCGTTCACGGGGGAGCTCGATATCTGCCCGCGGGACTGTCCCGCCATCTTCTACTGTTTCCAGATCTTTAATGGCAGCATTCAGATCTCCATAGAAAACCTGTGCAGGATTAGCTACGCACTCTTTCCACCCAGTTGCGTGGTAAGTCCGCCATGTCTCCTTCCCAGCTCCATTTTGGGTGAAGCAAACCAGTGCTGAACCTGCCTTCCTGAGATGTAAGGTTCACATCTATCTCCATTGCTAAATAATCAGATTACAAAGGGAGGAGCCTTGGGCAGTCCCCACTTCTCCTGTGTCKTATCTCAGAGCAGACACCACAGATGGTTTCACAACCTGCCAAGTCCAGTGTTTTAGTAGCTCTAAAGCACCTTCTGCTGGCTGCCTTCCAAGCAGTCGTTCCCAAGCCCTCCCCAGAGAAACAGCTCCCAGCCTTGGACTGATCCTGCTAGGGCCTCGATGGAGTTTGTGTTTGAGACCCTGCCTGTTTCTCCTTGCAGATCCTGGATGACATGTATTTCCAGGGGTATCAGGACACTGCCCTTTTCCTCTGCAGGAATGGTAAGTTTTCCCTGAGACAAAAAAGACAGCCGAAAGTGGAACCTGCTGCCTGGCAGCATCGCCCAGACACTGCGACACCACCAAGAACATCAGCCCTTTCCTTTTGTGCCCGCAGATGCCTTTGGCACAAACTACTTCGATGGCAACTTCCGCTTTGCCAGCATGTGTGGGAAAACTGACCTGGCACCATCCGAGGGGACGCTGAGCAGCCCGGGCAAGAGGGCAGCGCGGCCGCTGGCCCCACGCTTCCTTCCAGGTGCACCATTTGGGGCACTGCTCTTGGCTTCTGGGAGTGGCTGGGGCCCTGAGAGCTGCTGCACCTTGGAAAGGAGCAGTATTATATTTCAGATATTATATGTTCTTTCTATATCTGCTTTGTGGCAAATTCCCTGAGGGCTCTAGCTGCTGCTCTCTGTCTTGGAGTTAGAAGGCCATGGGGATTATGAGACTTTTTATTTGTTATGAAGGTCACCAGTGCCCTTGGGCAACCATGGGCAGGTGCCATCCTACAGAGGCTTTGCTGCCATCCCACAGAGGCTTTGCCAGAGCGGGACAGGTTGGATCATGGCCTGGCCTCCAGTCTCCATGGGTTGAATTGCAGCAAGAGCTGCTGGATGAGAGCAATTGTTGCATTTCTTGGGTTATTTCTCATGGCTGATCTTTCTTTGTGTCACACTTGCGAGCGCAGGCCTGACTCGGTGGAGGAAGCAGCAGTTCGGACTGCAGGACCCACTGACCAAAGTCCTGTTGCAACCGTACAAGCTCCCTGTCAAGATGCCAGCTTTTGTCTGGAAGGGGTAAGAGAGTCTTGGTAAAGGGATGGAGCAGGGGCCCATGAGAAAACCATGGCTGGGTGTCAGCCATGGAGGTCCAGCCAGGTGTGGAGGCAGAAGGGGAGAGGAGCGAGGCTGTTGTGGGACAGCATGAGGCTGGTGAAAGAAAGTAAGAGAGGGAGAAAGAATATTGCAACGGACATTTACTGTTAGTGCATGGCTGCGCTTGCTGGTCATCATGCTGTTCCTATTGACTTTGGTTTTCCAGGCTCCAGCAGCTGTGGGGATTGCTGGAAGAGATCAGCTCCCTGGTAAAATGGCTCCAGAAGCTCCTCCGGAACATGGTGCCTGGGTTGCCTAGAAGAGCTGCGGCCAGGGGGTGAGCGATTCAAAACAGGGGAGGCTGCAAAGCAGGGGGACATCCAGGGAAACCCCAGGGAATGTCACCGATAGGTCACTGTTGCTGAACTTGGCCAAAAMCTCCAAATCCGGGTACTCCAAACTAACTTCCCCTGCACCCTGATTTGCCATTCAGTGGCAGCTATGAACCAGAACATCTACATATTGGGCTCCATCCCAGCAGAATACAACAGGCATGTCCAAAATCCTGGGGGATTTGGTGCTAAACCTCATAGATTCCGACCATTTAACAAGCTGGATGTTCTTAGACCTTGACCCCAGCTGGAGTGGTTGCAGTGCATGAGTCAGAGCTGCAACGCGSTCAGAGCTGCAATGCAGCCGCACCACGTGCTTATGCTCCAGATCAGCACGGATCCTATAATGTAAAGATACCATAACACAAGCAGCTATTGCCACATCCTTCCTCAGCCATGACATCAAACGGCCCTGGGGTTACCTGTCCGCCTTGGCCCAGTGACACCAGCTCCACTGAACGTTGTTCCCTTAGGTAACACTCGCAGAGGGCCTTGGGSGTCTCCAACGGACACCATTCGCTTCTGCTGTCCCAGGAAGCAGTGGGTGACATCGGAGCTCATTTCACACCACAGCACAACTGCTGTTTTTAGGGAGTTCTTCTGTGGGTTGCTTTTTCACTCGGGGAAATGGGCTGAGGTTGTGTCAAATGCTGCTGCCACCGTCTCCATGCCCAGGCCTGAGCTGCTTTAAAATGATGGCTGAGGACAAGCACCGCAGAGCAAGCACCTCGACCTGCACCCGCAGCCCAGCCACCCATTTCCTTAGCCTCTCCACAGGTTTGTCACCAGCAGTGTCCTCCCACCCTGTTTTAAGGGCAGATTACATGGCATACACCAGCCAGCAAGTGTCACATTTTAAGTGTTTTCCTCTCCTTCAAAAGCTTTGAGACACTCAGTAAATGGAGAAGAGGAAGGTCTTACAGAGCATACGGGGCAGGAACTCACTTTCATCAGAACCTCGGGTGTGATTCTCCTGCCTGGTTGAGGTTGCACTCTTGGAGCCCCTCTGACTTTGCAGCAGTGCAGAAGGATGGAGAAACGTAAAAAATATTATTTTTAATAATTAATTAATCAACATATCAATTAACAATTAATTAAAATTAATTAATTAATAATAAATAAATTAATTAAAATTAACTTCCCCACTTCAAAGCATCACCCTACATGTCTCCCGTTAGGAAAGCTGGCATTTCAAAATCGTGTTAGTTCTCCCCATCTGATTTTCTGTAACTTGTTGCTATGAGCGTTGTATTATCCAGGCAAACAATTTGTGTTGCTGGTCGGCACAGAAAATGACCTGGAATGTCTCATGCCAAGCACCCGGCGGATGCTGATGGGCGGGCAGTGCCCTCAGCTGACTCTGCCCAGGCTGTGGCTGCCCACGGGCAGCTGTGGGTCCCCCCAGCACAGGATTTACCTGCCCAAGCAGCTTGTTTATCGAGTGGCACCAAGGGAAATAGCACAGAGGGAAGTTTCATCCAAAGAACCCCGGGGACCACAGGCCCAAATGTCACATCGCTGAAGGCTGCATTGACATAAACAGAATCAGACCTAGCTATGAATGCTGAGTAAAAGATTGATATAATTATGTTGTGCTGTCTCTGCTTGAAGTCAGTGGCCTTGCAGTGTGTGCCTTTGAGTTTGCCAAGAGAGACCGGGGTACTTTTTTGTGTTGGTTCCAACAAAATCTCTTGATTCCCCTTGTGACATCCTGGAGCAGCGCTGCTCAAAAGGAAACTTTCAATATCTCCATAAAATAATTGTCTTTTAGGAACTGGACATCCAAATCCACTAATTTATTTGCAAATCTCAGCCACAAGTAGGAGTGGAACTTGAACTACACAAGCAAGTCTAATCTCCTCCGGGTGCAGGGCAGGGTGCTTGATCATGGATAGTTAGGATAACTTTAGTTTGAGAACTTTTAGTAAAAACATTCCACAAAGAACATCTAAAACTGTGCATCCCTAAAGGCTTGTATAAGGAGGGCTCCATGCCTTGCCCTTTCTCAGACAGAAGTATTTAATAACACTCAGCATYCAAAATCAGTTACTGTGCGTTCTGCTAACCCCTCCACCTTCTCATGCAAGGACATCTCACCTCGCTGTTGCCTCTTTTGTGTGAGCTTACAACTACTAGCATAAAGGAGGCTGTACCAGAGGCAACAGAGAGAGGCAAACTTTGGCACTTCTTTTGAATTGTCTCATGTAGGAGTTTCACCCTGGGGAGGCCAGCTGGGAAACTCAGCTGCATCAGATTGTCTTTCCCCCTGAAATGCCTCMATTAAAGGGCTGAAAACCAGATTCATTTGGTGCCCACAGGGATCTGAAGGGGATTTGGAAAGGATTGTACACCTGCCTGTACTGGACACTGGTTGCTGTCCCTGTATGCTCCTCAGTGTGCCTTGTGTCAGTCTGCAGGCTGGGTCTCATGTCTCTCTGTCTCTCTTCAAACCGTGAACTGGGGGCAAAAGCAGCAGCTGGGTCAAAACACTCTTTTGGCCAAGGTCAGTGAGTTCCTGAAGGGCATAAAAACATGGTCAGTCTCTAACGCTTCTGACAATTCCTGTGTGACAAATCAGACTCAAAAATGTGATCTGGGCTGCAACTCTCTGCCCTGGTGTCTAAAGGGTAATGGGATAAACAGGCTTTAAAATCCTTAAAAACATTGTCTCTAGTCTCCTTTCTTGTTACAGTGCTGCTTGGCCTAATCTGTAACCAGCGCAAGGTGGATGTGAGGAGGGTTTGGACATAATCTGAGGCAGAAGGAGCTCTCCAAAGCTAGTCAGACACCAGATGCTGCAGGAAGGGAGAATCCTGATCCCCACAACCCAGCAAAATGAGCACTGCCCACATCTCCAGCGTTTGCCTGCACATGCGTTACCCGAGACACAGCTTCTACATGAGAGAGTCAGGAGCACACAGCTCATTCCACATCTGTCCCAGGGGGCAGATGGTTAAGTAAGGAAATGAGTGTGGTCAGCCAGCTAATCCACTCCAGGCCTTGCTCATGTGCAGGCCCTCCTGCAACAGACTTATGAAGACAGTTTGCCATGCACGGGAAAATGGGGATGAATTGCATGCCCAAATTATTTCCTTGCTTATCTGGGCATTATTTTGCACAGAACTTTGAAAATTTGGAAGGTTTGAATTTAAGCTTGCCTTATTTTGCTTAAAATTGAGTTGGGCAGAGGTTGATCTACAGCTCTAATAAGCTGCTCTTAGACTGAAGTATTTATGCAGGGTTGTACACTAGGACAGCTAAAAAGAAATTTTGGCAAAGACCAAACACTTTTAATGACAGACACTGCGCTCCTTCCCTCACCACAATGAAAAGATGCATTAGCAGAACCTCTTATTACCTTACAAAGAGAGTAAATGACTTCCTGATAAGAAATCCAAAATACACGATGCTCTTTAACACACTCCTGATGGACTTGCTCAGCTGTCCAGGCATGTCCTGCTTTTCTGGAGCTGCAGGAGCTACAAAAGCAGAGTCAGTGGATATAAGAAACAGAATGAATATAAATTTAYGAAGATAAGAGGATGCAAGGCAATGCAGGTTAGGGCTGCACACACCTCCTGCCATGAAACATCTCGATACCTTAAGCATAAACCTGCCCTCTACTGGTCTTTGGCCTTTGGTAACAAGAAACAGAGGCAGAGGTTTGCAAAACAGCGTGGTGTTTGGATCATCCCGTGCTCACCACCTTGAGCTCTGTTTTCCTCCACCCTTTGAGCATCTCTGCGTGGCTAGATGTCCTCACAGGACCTGAAGGGAATAAGTTGTCTGAGAGATGTGATCTGCTGGGACTCAGTCCACAACAGGCCTTGGAGGGAAGCAGTTTTAGCAAAGAGGAGTACAAACAAAGCTAATTTTCCAACAGGACCTCTCTGGTTGGGGTATATCTTAAAATCTGCCCCACATTTGTGGGGGGACGTACATGGACAGCTAGGAGCTCAGGCAGCGTTTGTCATGAGCTTGTTTTTAAGAAGCAGGGGAAAGA